ATACAATCCTACGTAGTGCCAAATGAATGAGTAAAAACTTTGTAAAAACTACTTTATAGGTACAAAGTAAAATACTTCAGATGATATGATGAGCATGAAATATTATTTGGGAGATACCATAGGGGTATTCACGATCCAGTGCATACTGTCTATCATGGTGCATAGATGGCATAAATAGCATGATTGGCTAAAACCACAACAAAATTATGCAATCATGCTATCTATGCACCATGTCTAGCATGGACATGCATGCACCGGATCGTGAATACCCCTCATAATTTCCTAAATGTTAAAATACAAAGCATCCACGTTGTTGTTATAGTATCTTCTAAGAGCATACAGATCGCCAAAAAAAGTTTTTGGGAAATCTGCTGGCGTGACATTGTCCAGAAAAAACTCTGGGTCGTTCCGAGTACGTACATCCGACTACCATGGGTACGTACAAAATATTAGGATCTTCATTCTGGTTGTTGGTGTTTCCGACAGGGTAGGAGTATGATGTATTGTGGTACGATTTTCCGTCATCCCTTGTCAAATTAGTTTTGAAGATATACTGGTTTTGGCGGTTTATATAAATATAACCACAGCAGGATACAATTCCCAAGGAAGTTGCGTAAGCAGGACATATTAAACTGCTTTTATTTAGAAATAGGGAACAACTGATGTTTTGTATTTTTAAACTTAGAAATTTAGCGATAATTTTTAATAGTTTTGCCAATCAACATACACAGTAGAAAATTTTAAAAGTATATAATTCAATATACATACATATGTATCATATGTCCATACAGAAACCTAAATGTTTAAACAATTGTGAAAATAAGGGAAATAGTATTAACTAAATAAGGAAACCAACTGAAACTTAATTCGATATTTTAGTTGTACATGTTATATTCAAGTTGTTTAACTTAGTTGGCAAGCACATTATTTATATGTATTACAACCAATTCGTTTTGAAATCCTCTTCTCTTTTCTGAGCTTTGCACAAGCTTTAATTTTTATGTAGCAGCTTCTCGTCAGCTGTTTATAATATTAATTATTCATAAATTTTTAGTAGTTAATAATAGCAAAGTACAAATGAATAGGTAGCCGAGTTTACGTATTATGAGCATTATTTGCTCGCATATACGAGCCGTACTAACGCATATTCGTGAAAAGTGGGGAAAATTAAGTATTTCAAACTTAAGAAGGTTTAGAATAAATTACGTCTTATATGTATTTCATGAATTCGTGATATAAAAAGGTTGTTGATTCGTTATGAGCAATATATAAGTGATTGTTTTAGGCAAACGAAAGAAATTTAGAAATTAAGAGTATCCAGCACTAAAGGTTTACAAAGCAGTATGGACTAACGTAATCCCCTTTGTACTTTTGCCTCAAATGCAATTACATTTAAAATAGTAAATTATTAAAAATATGCATAGCATCAGCAAATTTTGATTATGATTCTTCTTCATGATGCTTATGATCGATACGAACTTAAGTTTCTCTGTTTTTTTCGCTAGCACAGTACTTCTCTTTTTTATTAATAAAATTGATTATAAGTATCGCACTGGACATCGTTAATTGATATTAACAAAAAAAATAATATAAATAAAACGAATAACAAATGTTCAAATATATATAAGCAGAATTCAGCTACTTACCTTTGGAAATTTTGACGCTTTACGTAATTCTCACGAACGAATTCAATTATCTGCTTTTGTGTTTTACCACTGTAACTGTAAAATTTAATACGATGGTTTACCTTAGTTATATTAAAAAGATTACTACATTTAACTTACCGGAAGGAACTGCCACGCGAGAGAACGCGTGCCTTTCGTCTGGGCTGATTCTGCACTGCAGCACAGCGGAAGAAACCATGATTTTCTACGCATTTCTTCCAAAAGTTTTTGCACTCATTACGCCCCTCAAAGAAAAATTCCACAGTGTCTTTATAATAACCCTGAGAAAATTTAGAATGTCAAGAATTACACATACTACATGTGTATGTACATGCACACGAATAATCTATGGTCACCACCACTTACATATCCTTCGGGATGTAGTTTTACTAGGAATCGTTTGCGCTTGAACGATATCTTTCGTATTTTCGCCCATGAAAAGGTATTGATGCGTGTGATATTTTGGAAGACAGCAATGCCCATATGAGCTACAGCTAAGTTAAGTGGAACGCCCTCTACATCCTTCGCTGGATGCATTTTCATTCCATATAGTTCACAGCGTCTAGCCGTTTCCAGAAGATTCAAATCCGCCTCAGCAGGGGACTGGCCGCTATCAAAGTCAAATAAAATATAATTAAACCGGAATACTCATATATTAAAATAGTTTCGATATTTTATCTGATTGCTTACAAAATGGTTTCCTATATCCGAATAAAGTCTGCGACATCGACACAGATTTTTGTAAAAAAACGATGTTTTGCAACAAAATCGAGTATTCAAAAATCGATATAGTCTAACAAAACATAGGGAAAGCGTCGTCTTCAATAACTGTTCGTCAAATTGGACATAACGCTTTTGTATAAGTCTTATCTGCATGCTTTTTAATACGTTTAAAACATTGCTGCAAAACCTTAAAATATTTCCATGGAACCATGGCGAACAGGTGAGGTAATAAAAAAGCTTTCTCGCTTTATTTCTTGACATTCGGCTGCCTTATAGTCAAATTTTAAAGGCAATTTTTCAAATAAGACAGTGTCGAAATCTTTCTTCTCGCTCTAATTACTTTATATGGTATAATTCCGCCATTGCATGGAACAAACAAACGTTGCAGTTCCTGTTCGCAGCATGTTTTGAGTTTTATCTTCAGTTAAAATTTCTGCATTATCATCACTTGCTTCACTATATCCGAACTGTGGATTTCGTTTACGAAGGCGAAGCAAACATGCGGTACGAAATAGTTATGTAAAAATATGTAAAATTTTACCTACTCTCATACTTCTAAATTTGAACGTATACTCGGTACAAGCAGGTGGGATGAATGGCTCAATAAACAGGTGAAGTAATAAAACAGCTTCTAGCTTTATTTTCTGGCATATTTTATAGGCAAAATTTCAAATAAGGCAGTGGCAAAATCTTCTTCTTCCACGATGGGTGGGATGCATGCCATAACACCATACGCAATAATTTCCATTACTTGGACATTAAAAAGCAGTTTCAGAAGTGAACTAGTGTCATTTTATTATTATTTTTTGTAAAAGGTTATAATGCCACCAGTGCATAACTGCGTAAGGAGGGGTGGTGGGCGAACGCGGACCGCCACGACGCTGGGCACTTTCAAAGTTGTATACTTACAAATCCGTCCATTTAACTTGTTCATGTACTACATTTTGTCAAATGTAACTGGGTGACTACATATGTGCACTATTTTGCAGTATTCCTCAATTTTTAAGTTAAAAAGTTGGTCTTATTGCTCAACGAGAAAGCAAATTTGTGTTATTTCACATTCTTCCTTTGGCTACTTAATGCACATTTATGAAGGTAGGACAGTGGTTTAAGCTTTTTCTATTCCTCTTTGATTCTATTTCTAGCTCTTCATTTATTTTTAACGTTTTAAGTTAATTTCTCTTTACATATTTTTGCGGATATAGTGTAGAAAACTTAACGCGCAATCATTTTATACATTAATCATTGTATTAAACATGCATGCTTGCCTAGCCTACTTTAATTTGCTTTGATTTACTTTGAAAACTTGTTTGGCCTGATGGCGGCTTTGAACGCTGTCAAAGCAACTTGCTTGTGGTTTAAAAGTCAAGGCCTGTTTCCTTAACGTTAGGAATTACTTTCCCACGAAATTCCAGAAAATTAAAAAAATAAATACATATAAGTGCATACATATCGTTACTTTAACATAAAAAGGCCCTATCTCAAATCGTCGCTGAAATACAAAAGGTCGTAACTGAGTAAAAATCCAAAATTCCCTTGTTGATTGATTATGATGCATTTCATTCAATTATAAGTCCCATTTCATTCAATTATAACGCCTGACCTGTGTAGCAAGGCGAAAGAAGAGCATGTGAAGGAGATCCTCACAGAAATCGACTGGGCAAAGGCAGTCCTGCCCGACTACCGCAAGCCGGAGGAGAAGCAGCCGCAGGCGCCCTCCAGTAAGCGCAATAGATCGGGGGAAAATACGCCCAACCAATACGCAAAGAGGGTCAGAACGCAGGGGCCTTCTTTTGCTGAAGTAGCCAAGGAGCAGATCCTGCTCGGCGTCATCGATGAGAGCAATGAAGACAGCCTCACCCTGAGGCAGCAATGGAAGTGGGTTAAGGCCGCGATGGCCGACATTGCTATCAACATTATGTTGGAGAATCCGGGACCTCCGCCAACCTGCAAGGGAGCGGGGTGGTTCCAAAATAACATCCGCGTTATAGCATGCGAGGATGCCAGATCAGCGGAGATCTACAAGAAAACAGTTGCAGGTATTGGAGAAGTCTACCCTGGTGCGAAGCTCAGGGCGGTCGACTTCAAGGACCTACCGGTGCGACCGAGAGCGAGAGCATGGTTGCCTTGCAAGCCAGCGGAGCCAGAAAGGATCCTCCAAACCATAAGGCTCTATAATCCGGAGCTACCTACCGATAATTGGAAGGTGGTCAAAATCAACGAAAGCGGTAAAGCGACGATGCAGGTTGTCCTGCTTCTAAATAAGGACTCCATAGAGTTGTTGGAGCAAAAGAGCGGGGTCATACGTTACGGCTGTGACATGGCCAAAATTAAGGTCTACAGCAACGACGTAAACGCAGCGAGGAACCTGATCGCGGAGGTAGAGCCGGAAGAGGCCAACAGCGACGTGGAGATGGAGGAAGAATCCGAGCAGGTTGATCCGATGGACGACCTGACCGGGGGTTATGCCTCATCGACGTCTTCGCTGGGGGTCGGACGCATGCTTCGGCTTTATACGGAGGAGGAGTTGATCGAGATGTCGGAAGACGCGGTCAACTCCACCCTAATAGGCGACGTGGGCGATAACGGCCAAGATGGTGAAGGTACTGCAGATTAACCTTCACCACTGTAAAGCAGCTTCAGCTGCACTGCTGCTCCGTCTAACAGCTAAAGGGGCAGCCGACATCGTCCTAATCCAAGAACCTTGGGTGGTGGGACAAAACATTTGTGGGCTGAAAGCGCCGGGCTACAGACTGGTAAGTGGAGCCTCAACGGGGAAACCAAGGACGTGCATATTGATAAGTATCACACTAAAGTGTCTCTTTCTTCCACAATTTAGCGACGAGGACACAACAGCGGTCAGTCTAAGTGCAAACGGACGACCAATTAGGATGGCATCCATGTACCTAGCGCATGACAAGGAGGTGCCAACTACCTGCATTAAAGACCTAGTGGCCAGCACGAGAGAGGCGCTAATTTTGGGAGGTGACGCGAATGCCCACCATCACACCTGGGGCAGCTCCGATGATAACGAACGGGGTGAGTCACTTTTTGATTTCATACTTAGTTCTAAGCTTGTTATTGCGAATAGGGGGAATGATCCCACTTTTATTACAAAATCCCGAAGGGAAGTTCTGGACGTTACCCTTATCTCTGAGAATGCGGAATGTCTGGTCGGGAAGTGGAAGGTGCTTGAGGAGCACTCCTTTTCCGACCACCGATATATCCAATTCGAGGTATTAGGGGAAACGCCCAAGCAAGACAGAACTTGTACTGTTCACAAGAAGGTACAAAATCCCCCCATTGATAACACCAAGGCTGGCACAGACCACACTAAAATTAAGCGAATCCGCTAAATACCTGGGGATAGTCCTAGATAGAAAATTAAGCTGGATTCAAAACACCGAAGAGCGGGTGCGGAAGGCCACGGTTGCCCTATACAGCTGCAGGAGAGCAATCGGCCAAAAATGGGGTTTAACCCCGAAGCTAGTGCACTGGATATACACCGTCGTGGCGAGGCCCATACTTCTGTACGGGGTAGTGGTATGGTGGCCAGTGCTGGAGAAGAAAGTAAACATTATTAAATTACAAAAAGTGGAGAGAACGGCCCTGATCTGCATTAGTGGTGCTCTCCGCACAACACCTACTATGGCAATGAACACGATCCTCAACGTCATACCCATAGATATCATGGGACGACAATACGCTGCGTTTGCAGCCCTAAGACTACAGGGGCTTAAAAGCTGGAAAGTGGCTCGCTGTGGTCACACTACAATTCTGAGAAACCGACAACTACCGAGTACAAAGGACTACTGTGTACCAAGGCTCACTTTCACTAAAGGTTATAGCGTAATGCTACCTAGCAGGGAATCATGGCTCGAAGGAGTTCCGGGGTCTAAAGATGCCATAAGATTCTACACGGACGGCTCCAAACTAGAAAATAGGGTAGGAGGAGGCGTCTACTCGGAGAAATTGGGAATAAAAAGATCATTCCGACTACCTGACCACTGTAGTGTCTTTCAAGCCGAATTGGCAGCCATACAAGAAGCCGTTGACAGCCTAAAACTAGCTGTTATCGCCACTACGGAAATATATATATACTCAGACAGCCAGGCGGCCCTTATGGCGCTTGACTCTGTCACTGTAAATTCGGAAACAGTTGCCAACTGCCGCAAATCACTTAACGTGATGGCAGAGCAGTTCGCTTTGCACCTGGTATGGGTACCGGGGCACAGGGACATACCAGGAAATGAGAAGGCAGACGAGCTTGCAAGGGCGGGTACTTCCTCTCCACTTTCACCAGCCTGGAAGAGGGTGGGTATGCCACTCGCTTCCTGCAAGCTCTTACTAAGGGAGAACTTCCTTGAAGAAGCGGCCTCCAGATGGGAGCGCACTGAAAACTGTAATACAACGAAGCTTACATGGCCAAAATGGGATGTACGGAGATCGAGAGAAATTCTCACTCTCAATAAAGGCGATATGTCACTGGCCATTGGTCTGCTCACAGGACATATTTTGATAGGAAGGCACGCAGAACGCCTCGGGGTTAGTCACAACGACTACTGCAGGAGCTGCCATGACGAAGAAGAGCCTGAATCAATAAGGCACTTACTCTGCGATTGCCCAGCACTGGGCAGGAAAAGACAGAAATTCCTAGGTATAGGTCTTCTAGACGATCTAAGCGCGACTGCTAAGTTTGGAATACGGCAGTTGCTAAGGTTTGCAGACTCCACAAACTGGTTTAAGGAATAGGGGTTTTCTTTGGATCCATGTGGTATCACAATGGGCCCTGATCGGGCCTAAGTGTGCTGGCGCCCTCTGGGCCTAGCAGCCACTTCAACCTAACCTAACCTAACCTAAGTCCCCACATCATTTTAAGGCAATACAAAATTATAGACAGTTAGGCTTTTTTGCACTTCAGCGACTATATGAGCTAGGGCCTTTCCAACTTATCACTCTAAGTTAGCGATATGTTAAATAAATCATCGATGTCTTTGCAAAACCGCCCATCGACCAGTTGCGAAACCGCCTAAATCGCCGTTATGGCAAAAATGAGATTTGGTAACCCTGAACTTCAGGCATTGAGATTTATGTATAAAAATCGTTAAATATTATTTGTAAAATAATAGCTAGAGATGCTTTCCATTTCCAGACAACCGGTCAGGTACGAGTATGATTTTTAATTTCGACCAAACTCAAATACATTGTTTGTTGGGCCAAATAATGAGACACGTATTTTTTCTTTTGCCTCGGAAAAATTTTTCGGCCGAATTAAACGCGATTTTGTTTTTCAGGCAAAAATCGACTTTTCGAATTGACAGTGAGAATGTTTTTTTAAAATGCCCATAACTTTGTCAAAATTTAATAGATTCCAACAATGTTTTTACTCAACAGTCTGTATATATGTATGTAATATATCAGCAAAAAGTACAGCCGTGATCATTTTTTGTGTATCAAATAGATATTAGAACACACTTTCCACCATACAGTTTCGAAATACAAAATCACATTTTCCCGCTTTTTATAATAGAAACTGTATGGTGGAAAGTGTGTTCTAATATCTATTTGATACACAAAAAATTATCACGGCTGTATTTTTTGCTGATATATTACATACCTATGTTCCATTTAGTTAAACAATATAAGAATATTGTAGTATGTACCACAAAAAAGGAATATTTTCTATAAAATATCATAACTCAGAAAAAAAAATCTTCGCTATTAGAGATTTGGGTTGATTGTAGTTCAAAGTGTCTCTTTCCCGGTAAAAAGGTTTGAGAGAAAAAAAAATACACTTTTTGAGAAATTAAGTTTAAAAAAAAATATGCACTTTTTGTTTATTGTTAAATAAAAAATTTTAAATAATGAAAGTCAATAATTATATCATTCTATCTTGAAGTGACAAGAATTACTGACATTTGTGTAAAAGCATTGTTGGAATCTATCAAATTTTGACAAAGTTATGGGCATGTTAAAAAAACATTCTCACTGTCAATTCGAATAATCGATTTTTGCCGAAAACAAAATCGCGTTTAATTCGGCCGAAAAATTTTTCCGAGCCAAAAGAAAAAATACGTGTCTCATTATTTGGACCAACAAACAATGTATTTGAGTTTGGTCGAAATTAAAAATCATGCTCGTACCTGACCGGTTGTCTGGAAATGGAAAGCATCTAGAGAAAATACCGCCTATCAAGGCAATGCCCTCAAAGAATAAACCGTTTTTTCGCTCTCCTGTAAAATTTGAGTGCCGTAAGATAGGCGATTTTGCAATCGGTCGATGGGCGGTTTTGCAAAAGCATCGACGATATGTAAATATGAAACCCAAGAATCATTTTTATTTAACAACATTTTTTAAGATTTCTTTTTTTTTTTAATTACGTTGTGTTGTTTAAAAAGTATGCAGTAGCTTATATGCATTCATTTAGAATTGGAACACACCTCTTAATATCTTAAAAAAGGCAAAAAAATGCAACATCAAATGTGTATATATGGAATCAGGGAAAGCTAAATCGTGGACATTCTTAGTCGAATATACTCTATCTCTTTAGCAGAAAAAAAGGCAATTTCCATAAAATCCGTTCCCTGGTTATAACCCATATAACTTTTTAAATAATTATAATATTTTGAATTTAATTTCTATTATGTGGCAAACCTTTTTTGAAAAATAAAACCGTATTGCACTTCTACATACCAATCTCGTCAATTCTCGGTGCAGATGTGGTGACGGTGGGTTAAATATTTACGTAAACATCTCCGAACTCGATTATTTGCATTTGATTTTCTAACATCTTGCAACCCTTTTCAAGAACCAAAACCAAGTAAAAGGAAAGCCTTTAATATATATATATGTGACGCGTAAAGTTAAAAGGGACCTACGGTCAGAAAAAATCGGTTTTCACTTTTTCATCGACTCTTATAGTAAACGGGCCACTCTTTCCAATGCAATAAACCGCAGCTTTCTAGCTGCATTAGTTTTTTTACAATTTCACTTAAAAGTTAGTTACCTTCGCACAAAAAAAGTACAAAAAAATCAAATCTGACAAACTATTCTGAAATTAATTAATTCGCTTGAAACTCGTTACTCGGGGGTTTTCGAACATCGGATTCGTAATCACTGACCTCGTTTTCGGTGTCAACGACATATTTGAGTTTCACATGAATCCGAACAAGTTTTAAATTTTTTCCGCTATATTGGATCCGCCATTTTTAATTTTAAAAAACGAACAACGGATTCGTAATCAGCGACCTCGAAAACCCCCGAATAACGAATTTCAATCCATAAAACGTTCAGAAGCACCAAAATCAACTTGGTAAACTTCAAAGTCGTTTTCCTCGAATTCTTTTTTTCTGCGCGTAGGTCCCTCTTAACTTTACGTGTCACATATAAATATAATTAACGCTTTAGGGGCCGTTAGCGTATCTGTGTTAAGCTATAGTTTATTTATTTATTTCATTTAACTACAGAAAATTCCATAGAATTACTTGAAAATAGATAAATTAACGGTCCTAAATCTCCGAACTCGATAAAGAAGTTTTAATTCAATAAAGTCCCATATGATTATTATGAGAAGACGTAAATCATATTCGTCTTGAAATAAACGTCCCGAGAGACGAAAAAAAATAAAAAGCCGATATAATTATTATGAGAAGACGTAAATAATATTCGTCTTGAAATAAACGTCCCGAGAGACGAAGAAAAATAAAAAGCCGATATAATTATTATAAGAAGACGTAAATAATATTCGTCTTGAAATAAACGTCACGAGAGACGGAAAAAATAAAAAGCCCAGATAATTATTATAAGAAGATGTAAATAATATTCGTTTTGAAATAAACGTCCCATGAGACGAAAAAAATAAAAAGGCCCATATAATTATTATGAGAAGACGTAAATAATATTCGTCTTGAAATAAACGTCCCGAGAGACGAAAAAAATAAAAATCCC